TGCGACTTTCGTAGCTTGTGTGCAACGGCACTACATTCGCATCCTGGAGTTTCGTGCACCATTCGCACCTGGAGAAGAAGGACCAGTCATTTTGTTGGTAAGACCTTGGTACAGATTGCAGACATGATGTCAACTCCATGTTCCACCTACGTAGTGGTTCTACCTGCACTTCAGCGCAGACAGTGGACAAAAACCGGAAGCCTGCTTGATGCGAAGAAGTTTTATGTGGGATCCACCACTAAAACAGTTCATCAACGACATGATGCTCGTATATTCGCAAGCTCCGACTTCTACAACAAGGACAGTTTACTAACACGGAAATCATGGTTCACTACTTTCACAACCATGCCGACCTGTTTGACACCGTCATCTTGCCGCTAGGAACATTTCCTGACAAAGTATCTGTTCGGGCTGCTGAATGTACTCTCATACATTCCTGGAAACCTGGCCTTAACATGCCTTGGGTCGCTAATCTCAACCCAACCTCTTCAACCCGTACGTCGCAGCAGACCTTGTCCAATAGTCAATACAGTTGTCCTGGAAAACGCTTATGGAGGAAGGCACGCAGACGACTTCGCACATTGGGTATTCTTCATTGTTACTCCAGTCAGGCTCTCTGTCCTCAAGAGAATTGGGCCCTTTTGGTCAAATTAGCCCACGGAGGTATGTCAGCATTCAACACGGAACGAAGATTGAGAAGCTCCGAGTTTCACGCCGCTCACCTGTATGCCCTGTACCGTATGTGCAATCTATTGGATGATCCCCCTCGCACTGCTGTAAAAGCTACCCTACGCAGTTGCCTCACTTTTCGCAATCTAGCTGTCCCAAAGTTTGGCAAACCCCTCACGATCCCCACGCTTGCCAATACGGACTTCAGCAAATCAGTGCGAAGATGGATACAGAGCCTTATTCATCAGTACAAGGACTACCTCATCCCTTTTCACTTACCCAGCAAAACAGTGATTGCAGGTACTTTTCCGTCCTTTCGATCTGTGCTTTACAACAATATCATTCTACAACAACAATGGGATTGGGACCATCCTCCTGTATGTCATTGTGAACAATGGAAGCAACAACATCCTCAATTGCGAGTTGTAGATGGACACGTTGCATCTCCGGCTCATCTTCTTGCAGTGTCACGCCGAATACAGAATATCTTGCAACATTCTGCTGATTCCCAGGTATACCCTAAACGACAATTTTATATTGATCACACCTGGAAAGCCGTACGACAGTGGCTACGACGTTATGGACTCTTCGATGTCACCAAAGACAATTGGGCTGCGTTTGTACAGTCACAATGGAATGATCATTCGCTGGAGTCCCGGGACGCCCTCAAATTCAAGGATGTAACCTTTCTTCGTAAAATCCTAGATGGATTCTTCATTCATGGCCGAGATCATGCAGTTGCCCATGTTCATGTATTTTGTCCTCTTTTTGTGTGGCGAGTCTACAGAAAGACTTTTGGAGACCCTGAAGTATATGAACGACTCCCCCTTACGTATTCTCAAGCCTCTGTGTTCTTGAAGATGACCACGCGTAAGGCTTTCCTGACTAGATACAAATGGGGTTTCAGAGCCAGTGAACCTTCCATACCGATTGCATATATCCTCCTCAAGCAGAAGAAGTCTTTTCAAGCTGCGAGGCCCATTATCAGCTACAAGTATTTCCTGTACGCGCGATTGTTCAAAGCTACTGCCATCGTTATCGATCTTCTAGTTCGTGACGTATGTCCTGACTCATGTGGATTGGACACCTTACCAGTCATGCTTCAGAAGCTTTCTGCATTCCTACATCAAGCGCCAGAAGACTTCGAGGCATTGAGTTTTAATCAAGACTTGGTTGGGTTTTTCACGAGCATTCCCGTAGATCGGATTTTGCAGTCTATTGATGCCATCATCAGTCGGTATTGTTATCGTCACGCATTACAATTGGCTGATGTTGTGTTCTCCGTGCTCCTCAAGGAGAAAGATGTAAACCTCCGAATCTGGAGAGGCAGACCGCGAAAAGCAGCCCAAAGACCTTATCTGATACATCTACAAGATGTCCGAGCTATTTTTCATCTCAGTTGCGAGTGCAGTGTGTTCTCCGTGATGCAGTGTATTTTTCGACAGCGCCGCGGAGCAACCATAGGAAACCAGATTTCCCCTATGCTGGCCAACGCTACAGTGTCATTGGAAGAACAGCGGTTTGTGGAACTACATAGAGCTGATCTTCAAAGAATCGGAGCTGATCTCTTTTGTACCCGTTATGTAGACAATCGTCTTGTCATTTTGGATGTCAAGCATGAACATCGAGCCTTCTTGAAGCAATTCCTGTCGAACGACTTTTATGCCCGTCCTGTTGAACTAGAACATGTACATTCCCAAGATGCCGAGCAAGAATTCCTGGGGTTTGATGTGATCCCCCAACAGTCCAAGATCCTCCTTCTTCTTCGAGATGAACCTTGGAAGATTCGACTTCACAATAGTGCCGGTAGTTCCTCCCAAAAACTGGCATCGTATCACTCCAAAAGACACAGCATTCTCCGGCATGTACAGCCACCAGAAATGAGAGTTCAACAACTTGAACAGTTGAAGCAGTTGTTCTTGCAAGCAGGCTTCTCTAGAGCCTCGTTAGGAGACTCATGATGTTTCACCCCAGCAGATTTCGGCCATACAGAAAACTCTCAACGTTTCATGCCTGCCGTGTAGCATCGCAGTGGCGTATCTTATTGGTAGCGATATTGACACCATCGATCAAAGACTGAGTAAGCTGGAGCCTTGGTGCAGTGTGTTCGCTTTCTCAGTCGACTAAAACGCTTTGAAGGGAGCGTTAGAAGTTGACCTTTAAATCTTACAGATAAGAACAGGACTGAATTCACCCTGAGCTTCCGGCTGAATTCACCCTGAGCTTTCTTCTGAGCTCACCTTGCGCTATCAGAACATGTCGTAAGATATCTACGTAGTATTGTTTGTCACATGAATTCAGCTTCGCTGCCTGGTCATAGAGATCTTCGATCTATGAACTTCTCAACCGCCCCACCTCCCCCCCCTTCCTTCTCCATCCTCAACATCAAGATAACAACACACAACCGGCTTCGACCGGGTACGTGTGTGTGGACCATCTGTATCTAAGATGTGAAGTTATGGCTGAACACTCATTGATCCTCCTGAAAGCTGTGCATTGGTTCGTCGCACTGAAGTGATCTGATTTATCTGATTCCCCAAAAGAAAGCCGAGATGTTATGTCAAGCAGGGGGGTGCTGGAGAGATTTGCAGTCAGCACCCAATGAAGACGCTGCATATCTCTTGTGATACCATTGCAGACGTGCAATGGCGTACCTGCGAACTTCGAGGAATTTTCCCAACCAGCTTCGACTGGGTATGTGTGTGTGTGTCTCTGTGGGTCTCAGTGTGTCTCCGTGTATCTTCGTGTGTCTCTGTGTGTGCGTGTGTTTGTCCGTGTTGGGGCTCCTCCCAAGCCCGTTTCACAAGAACCATGATGCAAGAGCCCGTCCGCGTATGCTGTGTGAGAGTCGAAACTACCCTAAACCCCTGAACCCTAAAGCCTAAACCTGCTTGGGGTCATGCCGCGTGCCCGCTAGGAGCGGTAGACGAAGCGGTTCGCAAGACGGTGGCCGGAGCCCTTACACCCTCAGCTGCCCTAAACCCTCAGCAGGTAGGCTCTATAGTAGTAGGGTTCAGGGTCCCAGAAATTCAACCCTAAACCCTAAACCCTAAGTGTTGGTGAAGGGGACGGGTGGCTGATAGCCTTCTGCGTCGGGTGGTAGTGCTGGCACAGCTCGCGCCCGGTGCCCAGATCAAGCAGAGAACCCTTAGTGCATCTCAGCTCTTAAGACCTGATTCCCTGAGCCCTAAACCCTAAACCTTATAAACCATTAATAATAACAACAATAATGATAATAATAATAATAATAAACCCCAAGCTCTTCCTCAAAAAAAATATGGTCGCCAGGTGGAAGATTAGGGCTCAGTCTTGAGCAGCTGAGGGTTCTTGGGGGCCTCGTTTGTAAACCCTAAACCCTAAACCCTACACCCTGAACCCGGGATACTGTTGCGGGGAGGTGGGGAGGGAGGTATCAGATCCCACCACGACTCTGGGCATCCGGCACTTTTGGCAGCTCCGGAGTGACCCTTTAGGGTTTAGGGTTTAGGGTTTAGGGTTTCTTGAGATCCTACGCCACGTTCCATAGAGCAGGGTTGTCAAGGAAGGTCGAGGCAATCTTGAAAGCCAGTCACCGGGCGCTAACCTTGCTGCAAACGCACATGCGGGGCTTTGGGTCTGGCGCAGTTTAGGGTTCAGTTTACTTCATAAATTCTTTGCCCTAAGCCGTTTAACCCAACAAAGCTCACCCAGGCGGACACCGAGTACTACGACCTTCTCAATGTTCAGTGCGCCCCACAACGCTCGTCTTTGTTTTGCTGCCGTGGCTGAAAGTCCCAGGCCCTAGAACCCCCTTGTACTGTCCTGAGTCTTAAACCCTACTAGACCCTTTCGCACGAGCAAACACCTGGCAACCCTAAACGCTAAACCCTAAACCCTAAACCCTAAACCCTAAACCCTAAACCCTAAGTCTCGGGATCTGGGGTCCTGTGGACGATGTGGAGTTGTTCATCGAGCATCACCGACCTCGAAGCCGCTAAGCCTCAATGTCGTGCTCATGGACAACGCATTCACGCCAACAGCCGCTGGGTCCAGGTGGTTTGACTCAAGCCATCACAGCCTTCGAGCACCCTGAGCGCGGGTGGCAACGAAAGCAATTAGTCCAAACCCTAACCCCCCCCCCCCCCCTCCCAGTCCCCACCCTCGTTCCCGGAACAACCTTCAGCTCTGAGCCACGTGTATAAATGGAGTCTTTTGTTTTTTGTCCTTCACAGGGGAGGTTTAGGGTTTAGGGTTTAGTTTAGCTCAACCCCAACCCGCCTGGATCCTTCCAGCATGTGAGCCATGCTCTGACGCCCGGCTTTAAGCCAACTGCGTGCCCCGGGTGGTGGACCATGGAGCTGGGAAGCCCGCGCGAGTTGCTGTCAGGGACGCGCGTCTGCAAAGCTGCGATTTTTGCTTTAGAGCCCTCCCACCCCCCCCCCCCCCCCAAAAAAAAAAATATATATATATATATATTTATATATCTATATATATATATAAGAGTAATAAAATGAAAAGATGATAATCCCTCTCTCGCCCTTGTAGGGAAGCTTGTGGAGGCCCCAATATTAAAAAGACTAAAACAGCACCGATTTATTATTGCCCTTATAAGGAAGAATCTTGTTTACTGAGTTTACCTTGGTCAGTGCTTCAGGCTAGAGAGCCCACGGCCTTCTCTTCTCTGAACGTTCTCGTTGCGAAGCTCCTTGCGAGATTCTTAGGTAACCTACAAAGTTCCAGGCTCGGGGGTCATAAGGCGAGGTTTGCGGAGTTTTGCGGAGTTTTATGCAAAAAGGTTCCGGCATGCCGTGGAGGTCCTTTCATTTTTGCTACTAGATATGCTTAAGAACACCGAAAACTGAAGGTACTAATCCGAATATTACCCTGATTAGGCATCATACATTTATGTCTTATTTATTTACTTATGTAATTATGTATTAATTATGTTTTTGGAGGGGGCTTTCTAAGAAACTGTCGTAAACCTTAGCGCCTGAACTTTCAACCAGTGCAAAAAACATCAAGCCGCGCAATGCAACTCACAGCAACGCGACCAGCAACTCGTCAACCCCTAAACCCTAAACCCTAAACCCTAAACCCTAAACCCTAAACCCTAAACCCGCAGGCTGACGAAGGCCTTTTGAACTGGTGACAGCGCAGCAAAGCGCGCAAAAGGTTGCGTCGAAGAATCGTAAAATTCTCCAGAGGTAAGGGAGCTGAACGGGCTGAAGGTCGAAAAACAGAGTTGGGAGGGTTTAGGGTTTAGGGTTTAGGGTTTAGGGTTTAGGGTTTAGGGTTTAGGGCAAGAAGCTGCCCCTGAAAACTCCAAAGTGATACAAGACTGAGCTCGGCTCGTCAACTGAGGACGAGGCCCAGGAGTGGCTCCTCCTCTGCAAGCCTTTCCGCGGCTTGCCATGAGCTCGGTTAGAGGTCTAGAGCTTAGGTTTAGGGTTTAGGGTTCAGCTTTCAGGGTTTAGACTTTAGGGTTTAGGGCTTGGGTTTCGGATTGAGGGCTCTGGGGGGCTCGAAGTTTCGAGGGTCAGGTCCGGATCCACTTTTCCCCATGTTCTCAGAACACGTTCAGCCTTGCCCCCGATGCCGTAAAGGCAACAGGATCTTTGTTGGGCTTTAGGGCTTTTGCGGGCTCAAGGGCTCAAGGTTTTGGCCGGGCCAACTACCCACGCAGACCCCCCCCTGCCGGAGCTTTAGACCCTATAATAAAGCCTAAAGCCTCATGCGTTGCCTGGCACTGCTAGACCCCTTGAATGCAACGGCATACAGAGAGAGAGAGAGAGAGGCCCTTCAAGCCCTGTAGAAGAAGAAGAAGAACAAGAAGAAGAAGAAGAAGAAGGAGAAGAAGAAGAAGAATAAGAAGAAGAAGAAGAAGAAGAGAGAGAGGTTTCCCTTCATGCCCAGCAGAAGAAGAAGAGAGAGAAACCCTAAAGCACTCTTTTCTCAAGCCCCCCAGGAATCGGAGTCAAGCAGTGAGGATGAGATGATGCTCCAGAGCCTCAGTGCGACGTGCTTGAATTAACAAATGGGATAAAAACACGGGAGTTTAGTTTAGGGCCCATAAACAGCCCTATAAAGGCCCCTTTCTTAAAGGGTATAGGGTCTAATAGCCCATCCTGGTCGGGCCTAGGGGCTACATGTCGCTTCTGCTTCTCTTTCGTCCTGGGCCTCTATACGTGATCAGGGTTCGGGGCAAATCTCACAGACACTTCGTAAAGAACCTAATTATGCAAGTAGGGACCCCCTTACTATACTAACTTTGATTCAGGGACTTATACTTATAACCTGAATAGGAGGACTTCTAACCAGGCGGCCCAACCACCTGCTATTGCCGTTCGTCCTGAAATTCTGCCTTACCTTGTCAGGCCTTTCCAAGAGTCCCGCAGCACAGCGCCCATTCATGCAAATCCTCACTGTAGGTGGGAGTTTAGGAGGGAGGCAAATAGGGGACCCCGATATAGATCCCCAAATAGTAGGATCCCCTTATACTGAGGACCTCAGTAAGGTACCCTAACTTCGGAAACCCTAAACCCGAAACCCTAAACCCTAAACCCTAAACCCTGAACCCTATAAACCCTAAAACCCGCAGGTGAACACCCTCATGCGACAGCGCGTCCGCGGCGTAGTCGGCTTCAGCGACGCGGACGAGCCTTACTTCGCCTTTGCTTGAACTTTAAACTTTTTCGGGTTTCCTTAATTTAGTAGGAATACTAAAGTTTAACCTCTTTTTTATTTAGTAGGAATACTAAAGTCTGACCTCTCTTTTTTGTTCCCCCTTGGTTATTGGAGAAGTAAGGAGTTCCTTGAGCCGAAAGTGACCCATCTGCCCACCAGGCAGATCTTCAGGGTGCCCTCGCGAAGCTCTCTTCATCCTGAGCACTTCTTGTGTGGACGGCTGGGAAGGGGAGTGTATACAAATTTGCCCTAAACCCTAAACCCTAGGGTTTAGGGTTTATAGGGTTTAGGGTTTTCAGACGGCCAGAAAACATCCTGCAGTCCGGACGGTGTTGTATCCACAGCTCAGGAACAGCGCTGTCCATCTTGATCGTGCTTGCTGCCTTACTGTCCTCCGGGCTGACCTTTGTCTATCCCATGCTGACGTGGCAGAATGTGAACCTAGAGACGGTGGAGGACTTTCAAGTGACTTGGCGAAGCAGTTGCGTTTGCACTGCTGGGACCCTGAAATCCGACTCCGAATCACCAAAACAATCAGGGCTCTGAGTGTAAGGGGGAACATCCCAACATTCAGCTTTGCATCCCTAGCTTGATGGCTTTCCAGAAGAGCTTGCGCGGTGGCCTTTTTCAAAATTATCGTCCCCTACCAGGATGGGCTACTAGGCCCTACAACCCCAGAAGCAGCCCTACAAAGACACTTTTTTTTCAGGGTTATAGGGTAATAGCCCATGAAACCTTTGAGCCGCAGCTCCACAAGTTGAACTCGCCGAGCGGTTTAGGGTTTAGGGTTTAAGGGTTTAGGGTACCCCGAAGTCACGGCAAGCTTTCTTGCGGGGGGTTAGATTCAGGCCCTCCCGTGTTCAGCCATCACGAGCTGATCGACACTCAAGACACTCCAACTCTATAGATCCTAAACTGTGGTGAGAGGATGTGAGAGGCGCTGCTACTAGTAGGAAAGTGGCAAGAAGACTCTGAACTGTGTTGTAAGTCGTCGGGGCTTGTGACTCTTCGGCCGGGGGACCTCGTCGAGACCTTGACATGATCATGGTTCGGGCAGTGCCCGATCATTTGCCTTAAGAATACGAAGCAAGAGATTAATTTCATGTTTTGGCATCACTTCTAAAGCCCCTTTGATGCTGTAACTAGGATCCCAAGAACCAGGCATTGAAACCCTAACCCCTACAAATCCTAAACCCTAAACCCTCTAAGACGTGAGGCTGCGGACTGGGGGTGCCTTTGCCTTCCCTAAACTCTAAACTCAGGGTGCTTTTGCCTTCCGCAGGCCTCCATCAGCGAGCAGGGCAAAGAATTGCATCGGCTGGTCCACGATGCGAGCGTTGCGAGCTACCATGACAGCCGGGGAACCCAAGCCCTAAACCCTAACCCCTAGCCTTAGTTTTACACCCTAAGCCCTAAACCCTAAACCGCAGTTGGTGCAGTAGGCACTGTAGGGTTTTAGGGCCTTTTGTGGTTTAGGGTTGTGCAGTCAGCTATAGGGTTTAAAGGTTTTTTGGCCATTTACAGGTTATAGGCTATAGGGTTATCAGGTCTTTTATGGTGTAGGTTTCAGGGTCAGGGGGCGTCCAGGCACGGTCAGAGAGCCTTAGGCAGACAAAAGGGGCTTGTAGGGGGGGGTGGCAGGGCTTGTAAATTCAAGGTCAAGCCGGCGTGGGGGGCCCTTCCATGCAGGAGCTGCTGCTGAACATCGAGTGGTCCATCTGGTGGTTCGTGATTGAGCAGCCATCGAAGGCCCAGTAGCACCTGTTGATGCTCAGATGATGCACGCTCAAACCCGCTCAAAACGATCCGAGTTCAGGGTTAAGGGGTGGGATCTTCCCTCTTATACTTACTAACAGTCCTAAATCGGGTGATTATAGTACCCAGATAATCCCTATTGTGGACTGTTAGTATAAGGGAGTACCCCCCCCCAAGTTAAGGGCTGCAGCTTGCCGGAAATGCCCAGCCCAGCCTCCCGCAGGCTGTGCAGTCCCTGTACTCTGCTCTGATACTGGAGCCTGGCCTCTGGTCTCAGAACTGAATAGGTAACCTTTAACCTTGTGGGGTATATAGAATCCCACCATAAATCCTACCATATAATTGAGAGGTTAACCTTTTTTTGTTTTGGGGGGGGGGGGGGTGAATCCTACCATAAATCCTACCACAATTGAAAGGTTTTTTTTTTGCCCCGGGGTACTCAGCAACTGGGACAAAGTTACTCATGGCCTCGATGACCCAAAAGCCCAACAGCTCAGGGGCTTGTCGGCTTTGGCACTCTTTAACCCGCATCTTGTTGGGTTTAGGGTGTAGGGTTTAGGGTTTAGGGTGGGCAACCTCCGCTTCCTCCCCTTGCTACAGATGAAACAAGACAGGCGTTGCTCTAGTTAAAGCAAACCCGGATATGAATCGAACATCTCTAAAGTGCTGCCGACCTGGTATATAGGGTTGACGGTTTAGGGGCTTAGGGACAGCTCATCGCAACTAAGTCTAAAGCTGCTTCTATGTAACGGCGAGCCGGTTCCGCAAAGGTGCTTTCCGTCCACGCATATGTAGAGAGAGAGAGAGAGAGAGAGACAGAGCCAGACCAAATATGTCCTCAGACGCGTCTAGCATTTCATTGTGGCCATGGTCCAAATTGCTTAAGCCTGCTTCGGAAAAGTTGCTACCCTCAACCCTGAACTTTAAACTTTGAACCCTCAACCCTAAACCCTAAACCCCAACGGCAGGGAGCTGCCTAAAACCCTAACACCCCGCCTAAGGCTGGCAACAGCAGTCCAGCCAAATCGCGGTGGCTGCTCGAACTATCCTGACCACGCAGTCCTGAGACTGCATTTCCGGGGGTCGGGGGGTCCTCAAGAAGTCCTTAAGTTAGGGTCCTTAGTTTGGGTTCCGATTGTATGACCGAGCCTTTTGTCTAGGGGTACCGACAAAGGGCCCACGAGTAAGAGAACCCCTCCCCCCCCCCACCTGCTTGTGGCTTGGGGCTTGAGGTTTAGGGCATAGCTTGTTCTTGGTTGTGGCAAAAGTTCCTGCCCTTCGCAAACGCACGAAGCACGCTGGTTCTTGAAGACCTGTAGCCTCGGCTTCCTGTCTTCGAGCTGTGCTCTATCTCTAGCTGGCAGGGTGCGTAAATTGAATTGACACCTAGAACTGTATAGGAGCCTGGATCAAAAAAATGAATTGAAAGAGAGAGAGCTTTTCTGGCATCCTCACCTCTGAAGTCACCGCCAACTTTCACATGTCCTATCGTGCCGGGGACACAGATGATGAGAGAGGGACGCGCGGGAAAGCAAGACAGGTGCTGTGTTTATCATAGAGACTGTCTAGTAGTACACGTCTCAACCTCACGAGTTGTTCCCGTCCGTCTGCCCAGAAGTTCAAACATAAAACCGACATGCAGTGCTCCGCCCCCCCCCCCCCCTGTAGAGACGCCTTGAACCCCCGTCCCTGAGAACCCTCTAATGCAAAGGTACTGGGTCAACAGCCCTGCCTTCTCCATGGAAAAGGCCCGGCGTTGCCCTCAGGGTTCAGATGCAGGAGTGGCATCAGAGGTCAGACCGTTTGGGGGAAAATTCCGAAATTTTGGGGGGGACGTTGTTGGGGTCCTTGTTGTAAGGGAAATCCTAGAATTTGGGGTCTATGTCATTTTTCCTTTTTTCTCCCGTATCACCCTTGTGTACAGTGGTGCCATGCCCTCGGAACACCCCTTATGCACTCTCTTGTTTTTGTTTGCCCTGAACTGGCGGAAGCTGGCCCTTCAATGGTATGTATAACTAGGGAGCTAGTTCCCTCATTCCCTACTCAGAACCAGGGAGTCTTGCATCGGCAGGTTGTTGTCCTACGATGTCACCGTAATGGGCTTCCTTTGCAGGTGATACGCGGGGGCAGCGTGGGTGCAGCGCGCAACCTCTGCGCTGCCTACTGCACCGGTCTGTTCATATGCGTGCAACGCGCAGCTCCAGGCAGGATTTGGGCTGTATTGAAGGGGTTCCGGGAAAGAGTGAGTGAGAGAGTGAGCGGGTTTTGGTGGGGCTTGCTGTTTAAGGTTTAGACTTTAGGGTTAGGGGTTTGTAAGGGGTGTAGAGAGGTGCATGCTGGTTTTGGGGGCGTCAATGAGATTTTCTGTCAACATTTAGATGCTTCCTTTTCAGGCTGCAGGTCCTAAACATACCATTTCCGACCATCTCCATGGACCCGCCCACCCTCACCCCAATCTCTAAAGCCCGAAGAACTGCATGGCCAAAGAACCCCCAACACCTGTAAAGCAACAGCACTGTAGCCTAAAACCCACCGCCCGGCTGACAACAACAGGCCATTAGCCGCCCAAGCCCGACCCTGTGAAGGAACGGACGACTTCAGGCTACTGACAGCACCTCCTTACTCGGTGCCCGGAGGACTGCAGGTCAAAAGCCATGAGACTCAACCCCACAAAGACCTCCAGCTTCAGAACCCTGAATTCCAGTAACATGTTGAGCCGTCCCCTTTGTTGGCTCAAGCCGTTTTAGCTCGCAAAGGGGAAAGCATCGCAAAACGCTCAGCTTGACAGTCTCGGGAATGGCCTCCATTCTCGAGACTCTCATGCTGAGCGTTTTGCGGTGCTTTGAGGAGGCGTGTGAGCCCGATTCCGAGCCAGGGCTTAGGGTTTAGGGATGTTTAGGGTTTAGGGTTTAGGGTTGTGGTTTTAGGGTTCCGATGCCAAAGAACACCCCAATGCGGGGCCTGTTTTTGCGGGAACCGACGACGGCAGCGAAACCGCCACGATGATCGATGATTATTCAGGGTGTGCCAGAGCTCATGACTCGGGGTGTTGAGGGTTAGGGGAATGGCAAAGGTTTTTATCGGCACGTCACAGGTTTGCATGACTCGGCATGGTCGCAGATCGCTGCGGATAGCTGCAGGGAGCTTCGCCCAAGCTCGTCCAAGCATGTTTGCTTTCAGCTGACCACAGCGCCATCACAGAATGGCGCTTGCTCCTCGGTTGGTGGTCCCAAATGCCCTTTACACCTGTTCTTTTCTCCTTCGTAGCGGTCCTAGCGGAGCACCCTGCCTGGAGAGTGTCGTCTCAGACGTCTGTGAGCCAACATAGCAAGACAGATTCGGCACGATGCCGTGCCCGTACCCCTTGCCATCAACACAATGCAGTCAGACCTTGTGCAAACTTGCCTTAATGACCACCAGACAAAGCGGCTTCTGGATGACATCTTTGATTTGTTCTCTACTCTTGTCCGGTTTGCGGCAGTCGTGTTGTATAGAAGTGGGCCTGCATGACCATCGGAAACTAGATGGACCGTTTTCTGAGAGAAGTGACATTTGCCTTTGACGGCTCCCTGCCGGGTGTCCGAGAGGTCAGCTAGGCGGGTGAAAAAAACCTAAACCCTAAACCCTAAACCCATGCTTTCCTGCGAGAAGCCTTTCGAGCCTAAGGGGGTGGGGGGTTCGGAGAGGGTGTAGGGTTTATTTAGGGTTGGCATCAACCCGGAACCTTTATCATAGTGGGGTAACATTTTACATTTTTAAGGGTACTTAAACTCAATAAGGAATAAAATTTTGAAATTTTATTACTATCCCAACTATGAACCAGGAACCACGACCGTCAGCATCTACAAGATTTCTGGTCATGGTGAGCCTGCTTCCTTGAATGGGACGATTGCGGGATACAAGCCGACGCAGAGCGAGGAGTATCTCTACCAGGTTCGGGTCACTTGGCTTTGCTTCACCTCCAGAACTACTCCCCTAAACGCTAAACCCTAAACCCTATAAACCCTCAATCCTGTAAATCCTATCAAGCCTCTAAACCCTGTAAGCCCTGAACCTGTTACCCCTATAAACCTTATATAGGTTGGTGGTCTCTTTAATTGGGGTTTCTGCTTTACAAGGGGATATGTAGTGTTCCTATCAGGGGTTTCCAGGGGGGCTATACGAAGGTATACAGCAAGAGATAAAGAGACCACCAGCCCATAACATAAACCCTACAAAACCCCAAAAGGATCCTGGGCAAAGCTGTTTCCACCTTACTTAGAGGTTCGTGGTACTTATTCACCAACTATAATATAACTGTTCTTCTAACCCACTTATAAGCCCTTGAAGTGCCCCAACATGGTTTTAAGTCTTGGTGAATAAGTACCAGGAACCTCCAAGTAAGGCCTCTTCGTATGGAGATCCCTTGAACTCCTCCTCCGATGCCTGGGCCGGAATCTTTCGATTCCCATTTGAGACACTCGGTAGGCCCTTGGGACATTTCATAGTGTCCTTTCTTGGGCTTAAGGGAACCACATATATATATATATATTTACATATATACACACACACACTTATTTATCTATATAGTTTTTTTTGCTCCCGTATTTTGGGTTTAAGAAGATCGTATTTAGGAATATTTGTTCAGAGGGTTTCATAAGGTGCCATCCGAGGAAAGAGCTCAGGGCGTCCGGCATCCGGAAGTCCGCCCATTGCGGGTACGGCAGGACGTTGCCCATCCCGAAGTGCACCGGATCCTTGGGTTTAGGGTTTAGGGTTTAGGGTTTAGGGTTTAGGGTTTAGGGTTTAGGGAGACCAAATAAACCCTAAAAGTGGGGTCATATACCCTATACTACTGTAATTCTTATTAAGGTATATGAACCATAAACCCTTTTAGGGTTCCTCTCGTCCCCAAGGATGCCCGGGGCCTTGCGGGGTACTTTTTTCGCACATCCCGTTGACGGCGGCTTACTCTGCATGCCAAGAGAACTGGGTCGCCATCCGAAATCGCTTGGCAAATTCTGTCTACGACTACCCTTTGACTGAGACTTGGTAGCCCAGTGGTACCCTTTAACCTTTTTTGTTGGCTCTGGGTTCCCCTTGTAAAAATGACCAACCCATAAAAAGGGTACGCTGATTGTAAGAATATGGTTACTGGGCCCTAAACCCTAAACCCTAAACCCCAAACCCTAGGGCTACTTAGGAGAGGGAGTCCACCGTCTTCCTGATGGTCCTGCGCCTGGGCTTGGCTTGGGAGTAGACACTAATTTGCTCCGTGTTCTTGCTATATCGCCCTTGGGAATAATTTTCATTTTTGTGTACCCTAAACCCAAGAGGATATTTAAAATGCTATTGTATCTAAGGTTCTAAGGGGAATGTAACTTGAGAGTGCCACAACTGCACGCGCACCCCACCTATCGAATGCCCTCAAACACTTGTACTCACACGCAAACACACAAGCAAACACACAAACCACGCACACACACACACACAGATCAAGTGACAGTAAGCTATACTGAGATAAAGCCACCCTGTTTTCGTCCCAGCCGTAAAAACCTAAGGTCGTCTGACTTGGTCAAATTTGTGAGAGAGTCGAATCATTTCCACCATCAACAAGCCCAAAGACCCAAAGACCTCGTGCACATGAGGTTTGAATTCAGGGTGCCTTTTTGGTATAACTATATTTCATTTAAAATTTCACATCATAATCGGAACACAAAGTAGCCGCAATTTTGGAGAACTGCCCAATCGCCCCTCGGCCTTACATCCTAAAGCACAGGGGAAAAGGGCTGAGTCCTGTCCCCGGGGTTGAGACTTCAGTGTTTCCCGGAGCTCCCTAAAGCTCATAAACCCCAAGCCCCAAACCCCCATCCTAAACAAAACAAACACTAAGCCCTAAACCCTAAAACCCTAAGCCGTAAGCCCTAAGCCCGAAGCCCTAAGCCGGCAGGGAGTCAGCAGCCAGTCCCGAACAAGTTGGCTATCTTGTGGCTGCCAGCAATAGCAACTATGCTGCTGCTTGGCATGTGACTTTTGTAGGGTTTAGGGTTTAGGGCTTAGGAAAAATAACTATGCTGCTGCTTGGCATGTGATTTTTTGAAAATAACTATGCTGCTGCTTGGCATGTGTTTTTTTTTAACATGACTATGCTGCTCCTTGGCATGTGTCCTCAACTACTTAGCAACTATGCTGCTGCTTGGCATGTGTCTTGAACTAAGGCCAACCCAGTAACTGCTCAAGAACCCCACCTGATTTCTGAGAGACGTCGATTGTACCCTGCAGAGTGGGCACTTATGCGTGTGCAGTGCGGCGGTATTTCTCTGTCCCTTGTTCCTTCTTACGTACCCTAAACACAAGGCCCCATCACATCAAAACAGTCCAGGACGATGATGAACAGGGAACGCCCCCTCGACCCATTTCAGGTCGACTTTCCCTAAACCCTAAACCCTAAACCCTAAACCCTAAACCCTAAACCCTAAACCCTAAACCCTAAACCCTAAACCCTAAACCCTAAACCCTAAACCCTAAGCGGGGCGGGGCAGGGGCCCAATGTTGCCAGAGAGAGAGGTAGAGCGGGAGAGGCCCCTAAACCCTAAACCGTAAACCCCTGCCGGAACAGCGGGCCGTGGCCTTTTCGTTGTGTAGAAGAAGAAGCAGCAGGGAGGGGGGAGAGGGAGTTACTGGGCTACCTGATTACATATGTGAATATCATAGAGAAAGTATAGCATCATAGAACAATATAGTCATGTAAGAATATTACAGTGTATATATAACAATAGTAATAATAATCATAATAATAATTATTTTTATTATGATAATAATAATGATATTTAGAAAATCATAATAAAATGAATTCTTATTATCACTATCACAATAATAACAACACAATAGCAGAGAACATGTAGTACAGATCAATAGCAAGATATTATAATGATCTAATAATAAAAATGAAAAATAAAAAACAATAGTAGTAATAATGATAATAGTAGTAACCATACAATAGCAAGATAACAGAATGATCTAATCAGGCTGATTGAAAAAACAATAGTAGTAATAATGAGAATAGTAGTAACCATACCATAGCAAGATCGCAGAATGATCTAATCAGGCTGATTGGCGGGGACCTGCCCCGAGAGCCCAGGCTGAGTGCGACTTGATGCCGGCTGTCGACTTTGCGGTCCCTGCTGCTCACTTTGCAGCTCATAAGCTCCACTCAAGGGTTTGGGGTTTAGGGTTTAGGGTTTAGGGTTTAGGGCTAGGAGACCTTTCAATCTGACAGTAACATGCAACACATCCGGCATACTTCTAGCATCTCCCCCACCTTAAGTTACGCAAATTGTGACTTAGTAGGCAGTGGGTATCCCAGGGCTCATCCGCTGCCACAATGTGGGATGGCAGGTGTGGCCACTGCAGCATCATTTCGGGGTTGGTGCGGGGGCGTACTGCAGCATTCATCTGGGGGTGGGGCGCTGCAGGTGCCATGTGGGTGGTGGCCACTACAGGGCAGGGACGTTTCCGGCAAACCCTGCCGGGGTCGTCTGGAGAAGGGGAGTTTGAGAGGCAAGCTGAAGAGCTACAGCCCCAAAAAGAATCCCAACAAGCCCAAGCCCTAAACATGTCCTCTTCTGCGGGTCACCCCGGAAACTTTAAGACCCAAGAAATTGCACTTACATTTGTTGAATTGTAGTCTTTTGTCTTTTTTGGGTAAGTGTTTAAGGGCTTCGTGCTTTGGAGAGGGGGGTGTTGTTATGTCGTTGAGTTTGTGTTCTTCTGAAGTGCTCCCCAGCAGCACGGGTGGCTGATGTGGAAGGGGGTGGCCCTAAAAGACTAGATGCCTTTGTCATAGTTGGCTTCCATTTTACATTTTTAAGGGTACTGAAACCCAATAAGGAATAAACAATAATAAAAAATGTCAAACGAGAACAAATACCCAACGATGTGCTAGAAGCATGGGTCCACGTTCTCGACGTAAGTGGTTTGGCTTGACAAGGCATCGCAAGCATCTCTCCCCAGTCAGCGCCGGGCATCCGCCATGTCAGCTATATGAATAATGTGATTCATGTATGCGCTTCTACGATTCATTTCTCCTACTGGCATTACATTGCTAGGTTTTTTGTGCATTGCTATATTTTGCTATATGTTCAGAACTATGTAGTTATTTCCTTATAGTGTCTCATTATTTTGCGATTTCGGATTGTTATTGTCTGATTTTCGTTTTTCTGATATCATTTTTGCAACTTCACATTATCTTGTATTATTTATATGCTGTTCATACAATTATTTGTTAGATGAATATCCACAGTGATCATTTCCCCTTTTCTTAGTACATCATCATTTTTAGCTACTTTATCACTTGGTAGCCCAGTGGTACCCTTTTCCCTTTTTTGGGTTCCATGTAAAGTAGCCAACCAAAAAAAAGGGTGCCCTTATTATAGTATGGTTACTGGGCTACTAAGATCAGGCAGGTGGCGAAAAATGCGTTTGATATGCTTGGAACCGCCGAGTGAGGTTGTGAGCAGAGCGGCTCGGGTGCTGTCCTTGCGCTTCGGAGCAGATTGGAAGGTGCTGGTAGGGTGTAGGGTTCAGGGTTCAGGGTTCAGGGTTTAGGGTTTAGGGTTTAGGGTTTAGGGGTAGTAGTCTGGGGTTCTGAAAAGGGGCCGCAATCCTCTCTCTCCTCTTCCCCCTTTTCCCGTCCCCCCCTCCCGCTCTCACTCCCTCCCTCCCTCTCTCTCCCTTGTCCATAGGTGTGTACAGAGCCCTGGACTCCCTGGGTTTAGGGTTTAGGGTTTAGGGTTTAGGGTTTACGCCAAAACCGTCCATCTTCCTTGAAGGCGAAGGAGCTCTCCCAGAAGAACTTCACCATGAACTTCACCACCGAGGGTTTGGAGAGCGACCAGTGTCGTGGCCCCTAAACCCTAAACCCCAAACCGCAGCGGTAGCGAAGGAACGGGGTCTGTTTTTTTTTTTTTTTGCGTTTGGAGGGCCTTGGGTTTAGAGCCTGGACTTGGGATGTTCCACTTTATACCGACAGCCGTTACTAGGGATTCTAGTACCCCCCCCCCCCCCCCCCGATTCTAATCCCTATTAAGGAGCTGTCAGCATAAAAAGGGGGGGACATGTGTGAACTGAGGTGGAAGCCTTGTCCGCCATGGCAACCGCATGCTTCCCACCTGGAGTGCTTCGGGTTGGGGACGCGGCGGATAAATCTTGACGATGGCCTGGTGTGGCTGGCTGCTGCTTGGCTGTGGTCTTCAGTGGTCCTATAGGCAGCTGTAGTGTTTCCTACACATGTGTGCATGTTCTGTGTTCATGCACATGGTTTACTATGCTCAGCATGTATCGTAAATTGTGGTACGCACTACCCCCTACGTAAACCTCTCTATGCCGTCATGCGGACGTGCTTTTCCAGATGTCGAACTGCTAAGGTTGTGGTGCTACCCTGGGGTGCATTCACCAATGGGACACTGCAGCAGCAGCGCATCATCGACGCCTGCCGGCAGTAGAGGTGTAGGCTTGAGGGTTCGAGCTATGGCATTTGCTTGAATCTGCGAAGTCAGTTGGCCACTTTGGAAGATCTAGGGTCTTGAGGGTGGTTCATAGTAGCATAACGGGTTTAGGGTTTAGGGTTTGGGTGTTTCAAGTTATCTGAGTGGTTGGCTCCCGCCCTCCACGTGCAAAACAGAAAAGCCTTCCTTCAGGGATATCTTTTTCATAGTGGGGTAACATTTTATTACATCTCTAAGGGCATATAGACTCAATAAGGAATAGAAATAATACTATCCAAACCATGAACCAGATATCAACCAGCGGTTTAGGGGTTACCCGGCATTGTTCTGCAGATGCCTGGATGCAAAAAAGGACATGGGGGTTTACGAAAATCTGGGGCCCGGCAAAAAAGTGTGCCCAAATAGTAGGATTCCCGTACAATGTGGACCCCAAAAACACGTAACCCTAAACCCTAAACCCTCAACCCTAAACCCCTAAACCCCTAAACCCCTAAACCCCTAAACCCCTAAACCCCTAAACCCCTAAACCCCTAAACCCCTAAACCCCTAAACCCCTAAACCCTAAACCCCAAACCCCAAACCCCTAAACCCAAAACCCCCATACAAGCCCCCCTAAAGTGCCAAGCCTCGGAGGCGGATCGCGTCCAAGACCGCATGCCACTTGCTTGCACGGCCCCTCCGAGTCCCTAGGGTTTAGGGTTTAGGGTTTAGGGTTTAGGGTTTAGGGTTTAGGGTTTAGAGGTGGGTCCGTGCCCAAACCCTCAAAGAGTTATCATGATAAAGCACACATTGCAAGGTTGTTTTTGGTTTGGGGCTCTTCGTACGCTTGCAGGTCAACAGCCAGGATTTCGCAGACGAAGTCGCAAGTTTAGGGTTCAGGGTTTACGTTGCAAAGTCTGGTGGCGAGGCCGTGGTGGTTTAGGGCTTAGGGTTTAGGGTTTAGGGTGTAGGGTTTAGGGTTTAGGGTTTAGGGTTTAGGGTTTGGATTTCTTGGGGTCAGATCCAATCACCCCAAACTGATCTGTGCCGGTGGCCCTTGCCAAACTTTTGGGACCCCACGAAGTTTAAAGAGAATGCCAGAGCTTGACCTGCCTTGACAACAGCCCGAAACCCTATACCTAAAACCCTAAACCCTAAACCCTAAACCCTAAACCCTAAACCCTAAACCCTAAACCCTAAACCCTAAACCCTAAACCCTAAACCCTAAACCCGAAGCAGCCCCAAGACTCGAGCCACAAAGCCCCAGGGATGCAATCCACGCAGCGCGAGCAGACACCTGGCGAAAGGCGGCACTGCTCGTCTGCTGCGCGGTGCCTCGAACGTCCATGGAAATCGGTGTGGAGTTAAGCTTTGTAGGGTTTAGGGTTTAGGGTTTAGGGTTTAGGGTTTAGGGTTTAGGGCTATGGTTTGAGAGAGGCCTTCTATATCCTTCTCTTCCTTAAAGTCAGGCGTCTACTTAAGGGTATATAAGGGGCAGTACGGGTTATACAAGGGGGCGACATAAGGGGTATATCTACTACTTGCTCAAGAATCCTCAAAAACATTAAAAACTATCCCCTTTTTGCCCTTACAGGGAATAGGGATTAGTCTTTTTTCCAGCAAATCGTAGTTTTTTGTGTCATCCCTTCCCCCTGAGACCCTAAACCCTAAAGCCTAAACCCTAAACCCTAAACCCCACCCTAATGTTAAATACTACTCTTCCGGGGCCCGCCCGGCTCCCAGCCCAATACTAAACCTGCTTGAGCATTAGGGGGGTGGTGCTCGCAATTGGAAAATTCGCCTCAGCCGGGACAATATCTAAAATTCAAGGGAGGCGAAACCCTAAAACCTGGAAGCCGAAGCCTAAACCCCAAAGCCGAAATTGAGAGAGATGTGGTAGTGAGGGTTTGGGGTTTGGGGTTCAGGGTTCAGTTGGGGTTTAGCCTTAAGCCCTATAAACCCTAATTAAACCCTCTGAGCCTTGAGCCCTGAACCCTGAAAAGCCTCTGAGCCCTAAACCTGGATTGAAAACCCTAATGTCTCAACTCAAGGGCGGAGACCCTCAACCCCCCGGGGGGGGGGGGTTTAGTATTTGGGGGAAGAGATTACCTTCAACATCAGGGGCCATTCTTGAACGAGCACCCCCAAAAGCATGAGACCATGGTTTAGGGCACCATGACCATGCAGGGCAGGAGATTGGCCGAACGCGGCAGGGCCCGGACGAGGTTTCTGGCTTTCGTTTTTGCTAAGTAGGTTTGAGGTAACGGGTTTATAGTAAATGATGTAGTACTTATCCCTACTGTGGCGACCTAACTTAAGTGCCATAAAGAACCCAGATTAGGCCTAAACCCTAAACCCTAAACCCTAAACCCTAAACCCTAAACCCTAAACCCTAAACCCTAAACCCTAAACCCTCCAGAGGCCTCAGATTAGGGGTATAGGGGTTTCGGGCATCAAGGCTCCAGGAAGCTGAGGGTTTAGGGTTTAGGGTTTAGGGTTTAGGGTTTAGGGCCTCTCTGCTGTCCAATCGTGGCGATCGCCTTCACTATGCAACCTACGGTAACAGTAACATTGGGAACTGCGGTTTAGAACTGCTTAAAAAAGGCCCCAAAGAATGAAAGACAAGAATCATCGCTATATATGAACGAACTCTTGTCAAGAAGACTGTTCCTCTTTTATTTATTTATTTTTTTGGGGGGGGGGTTCTTATGCAAAGCCTAGTTTCGGTTGTTGAAGATGGAGAGGGATTGCCAGTCCGAAGTGTCCGCTAAATTGCCATTAAAACCTTTGGGCTGGACTAAACCCTCAACCCTAAACCCTAAACCGGGGGCCTCCAGCCGAGCTCCGAGGTGTTTTTTGTCCTCACGGCAGGCGCCCGCGATGTGGGTTGACGCAGTGAGCGGACGAGTGTGTGTGTGTGTGTGAGAGAAACCTGGCAGAAGAGTCAACGAGCGCTCCATGAAGGATCCTAGACCACCCCCCATGGTAGTTCTTTGTTTCTTTTTTCGGGGGGGGGGGGGGGGGAGAGGGTGCCTCTCTCTCTCTCTCTCTCTCTCACTCCTTTCTGTTTAATTGAGTTCTATTCCCAAAGGAGGGTTTAAAGAGGCCATATCCCCAAGACATTTCCGATCCACCAGAGGCTTGCGGTGAGTGAGGTTGGGATTTGGGTTTAGGGTTTAGGGTGTAGGGCTTATAGGGTTTAGGGTTTAGGGTGAGGTTGGGATCGCGGGGCAGGCTGGATCATCAGCACCGTTGCAGTCCGATCGTTGGACAGGCCATCTGGGAAGCATGTAACGATTCTCCAAGGGCTTGAGGGACATGGAGCATGAGGCTTTAGGGAAAAAGGGTGTTTGGGGTTTAGAGTTTGGGGCTGAGGGTTTAGGGTTGAGGGTTTTGCCGGTACCTCAGAGAGCCCGGGTTGAGAAAAGGGTGTCGGGCTCAGGGACCCTAACTTTTTGCTACTCGCAGGCACAGGGCTTGGGGTTCAGGGACCTCAACGCCCTGCAAAACGAAATCCAACGTTTTGTGACAACTGTCCTGGCTCCTCATAAGGTGAGGCCAAACCCTAAACCCTAAACCCTAAACCGGTCGTCCTAAGCAGCGGCTCTGTGTGCAGTGTTGACCTCAGCCTCTGAATCACCGAAGCTGGCAGCTGCTTCGCCAAAGCGGTGCGCTGCCAAAAACTTGTTTCAGCTGAACTCCACGTGATGGTTTAGGGTTTAGGGTTTAGGGTTTAGGGTTTAGGGTTTTTTTTTTGCCAGGCTGCTGGACTATTCGCGCAAGCTGGCGGTGCTTGACTTTCGTGGGCTCCCAGGCTCGCAGGATCCCTGCACAAACATGGCTCCAGGCTGTATAGGGTCATGTTGTATCTTGCCTGCACTGGGGTTGGGACTCACGCAAGACTGCTAAAGTGGGTTTAGGGTTTAGGGTTTAGGGTTTAGGGTTTAGGGTTTAGGGTTTGGAGGACCTGATCCAATATGCTTGCCAGCTTAGAGGGCCTCCTGGGGTGGCCAAATTTCGGGTCGGGCGCCTTGCAATCTCGTCTGCTGAGAATGGCGCCGGGCGTGGGTGGCAAGGAACGGAAAGCCCGCAAAGCCTGAACTTAACAGCCGACTTCTCCGAAGTTGAAGTCCCAAACTCTGAAACAACTCGATTCCCAGCTGCAAAGGTTTAGGGTTTTAGGGTTTAGGATTTAGGGTTTAGGGGTTCAGGGGTTTAGGGCTTAGGGCTTAGGGTTTAGGTGTTAGATCCTTGTTCTAAACTCTACACCCTCGCAAGCCTTGATCAGGCTTGTATCGCTCTAGCACGCTGACGCTGTCTCCCTTGAGCGAGGCCGGTGGCCTCTTCTGCCGCTCTGCGGGAGGGTGTTAGGCTCCAGCTTCTCTGAACCCAAAACCCTAAACCCTGAACCCTGAAAAAAACCTGTGCAAGCGTCATGACTATAACCCACATGCCTGTGTACATATGACATAGATGTTTTCATTGTTTGTTTGTTCAGGTCACATACCTACCCCCCTAAACTGGTGGCTTATTCACGCAGTCCCTAAACGGTGCCAACCGATAGGTCGGAAATCAGGGGAGCAGTGGACATCGGAAAGAACCAGACCCAGAAGAGGCAACCAAGGCATGCAATCTGTAGGGAATCCCCAAACTAAAGCCCATAAAATCCTGGCCTTCCGCGTGCGACTGCGAGATCCAAGACTGAACCGCTTGTTAGAGCTTCCCTTCCGTAACTTAGCGCAATGCCGATCGCGGGACATCGGTCATCTGGCATGCGATGTCGGTGGCTGGTGCCACTGCTTGGACTGAGCTTGGTCAGCTCCTCGGCACCAACAGGTACTTCCCATCATGGAAGATCAGATCCAGGAAATGCCAATCCACTGGACGAGATGGACGAGATCGAGGATTCAGCAGCATGCATGACATGCATGCTTCAAGTAGACCTGCACCGGGAAGGCTTTGAGATGCTTGAAAAGAACGCGACAGATCCTGCGGAGGCTGTAGGCCCAGGGCCGCTCCCTCCAGCCCAAGCCCTGGAGTCCTTGCTATATCAGCTTTGGCTACCAATTCTGGTCGGCCTGGTGCTGTTCTTTTACCAGGATCCCCCCAACGCAGGCGGCTCGCAAATTGCAGCAGTGAACGGGCTACGCTTCGTCGCCGCAGTTGGGATTTTCGCTGAGCACGCAACCTTGCTGCCGGGGACTCTCGTAGGCGTGTTCCTGACCCTTTCTGGGTGCCTGTTGAGCTTGTCGCGTGTCAAAGCGCTCACAGGGCCTGAAGGCATTTCTAGCGATGGCGACTTCCTCGTGTTTTCGCCATCCAAAGCTGTGCGATTCATCGTTGTGCGGGCTGCCCGGATATATCCGCTCTATTTTGCAGTTATGAGTTTGAAAGAGGTCTGGAAAGGTGAGTTACCAGAGCATATTGGACTATGGTCGCTGCTGCTACAACCATTTCAGCTCATCTTTGGCTGCATCAAAACCTTTGCAAACATGGTAGCTGAAGATCCTCGAGAAATATTCTTGCTTCGTGGAATACCAGGAACAGTCAATACGTATTGGTTCATGCATGCAGTCATCTTTCTCTACGCGCTGTATCCTTTCCTGGAGTACTGCCTCCTGAGACCAGCGACGTCTGTCACCAGGCTGCTCGTGGTGGCGGGGTGCTGCATGTTGACCAAGCTGTTGATTGTGCTGTGGGCAACGATGGTTCTGTCAAACGATGGCTTTGAGGTGGGCGACTACTGGTACCGACATGACTTGGGCTTCTTTTGGGCAGGCAAGGTGCCTTGGTACAGTTTTGCACCTTTCCGCATACCAGACTTTGCCATGGGCATGCTTGTCCCACACATAGCCACATATGCCAAGCCAAACGACGTGTTGGTGCAAGTGTCAGATGTGCTCCTCTTGCTGTATTTTGCCTTAGCTGTCCTTCCCAGCAGTAGGCTTGCCTGTCTATGGATCGACATGCATCTGCACTGCCCGTTGATAACCTTTGCAGTTTGGGGCTTGTGTTTCGGGCCGCGCCCAAGCATGCTTGGACGACTGCTGGGACTGGACTGTCTTGTGACATTTGGCACAATGTCATATGGAATCTATGCATTTCAAGAGCCTCTAATGACCATGATGGGCGTCTATTACCCGAACAACAGCTCTGCCGGCCCGGTGGCTTCATGCCGGATGACCAATACATGCTTTGTGTGGTTTCAATACACCACACTCCCGGACATCGTGAACTTGTTCCTTGCATTCTCAGCTCTTGTATTGCTGACTATCTCGGGGTTCCATCTGGTGGAGGAACCAGCGAGGAAAGCTTTGCAGGCTGCTTTGTCCAAATGAATGATCACATACGCATGGCCAATTCCACTTTCAATAGGCTTGGGGCAGGAATGGAGAGTCGTTCCAGCTGCCAGTGGTTTGTTCTTATCATTCGAAGATGCGAGATCCGCGGAGCATCTTGCAACACGAAGCGGAGGTTCAGTGCTTTGTGTCTGCCGGGTGCCAGCATTCTTTCACTCATGCTGCGCCGTGTGATTGCAGAGCCTCACGTCTTTCACATCGCCCGACTTCGATTTGGCATTGGCCTTTATAGATGCAACTCGAGTAATTCAAGTAGAGGTATGGCCCAGGTCTTGCACTCTCAGTCCGGGGGTATGTGCCGCGCTCAACAGTAAGAGTTGGTTTTTTTTGCTTGGGCCGCCCTCAGAAGTAGGAGTCAGACCATGCAAGCGTAGGCAGATTTAAATCCCTTCTCTCTGTGTTCTAGCACGGAGATGAGTAGAGGTTGTGCCTCGGACGTGGAACAAAAGAAGTGTCGTGGTTGGCACACTTTCCAGATGCATGCGTGCTCCACTTCAGAGTCTATACTCATACTTCGTTGGCCCTAAACCCTAAACCCTAAACCCTAAACCCTAAACCCCAAACCCTAAACCCTAAACCCTAAACCCATTGTGTTGCGCACTGGTGCAGCACGGATTGCTGTCAGCTGGGCGGGTGGTTTAAAGCCAACCCGGAGCCTTCCCCTGTCAGGTCGCGGAGCTTCAAGTGGGCTTTGTGAACCTCGCCCGCAGCGTCGAGTGCTTCGCTCGCTTCGTGCCTGAGACAGTCGTGCCTGGCGCAAGAAGATGGATTTACAATCGCAGGGCTTAGACATAGGCAGCTTGCAGGCCTTTTCGACTCACAGGCTTGCAAGGGGCGGGGTTAGCTTAGCTTTTTCTGTGGTGGGGTAGCTTCTGCTTGCGTAGCTGAGCCGGTACCCAGACAAAGAAGAGACCACATTGGGGAGGTAGGTGTGAAGTCGTAGCTCAACAGATACATGTTTTCGGGGTTGGCCAAGCCCGAAAGCCCAAATCTCAGAAGTAAACCCTAAACCCTAAACCCTATAAACCCTAGAACCCTAGAACCCTAGAACCCTAGAAGCCCCAGAAACCCTAGAAACCCTAGAAGCCCTAGAAACCCTAGAAACCCTCTAAACCCTAAACCCTAACACTACCTCTCTTCGCTCTCAATGGGGGGTCGGGCAAACAGACAGATGTTATTTTCGGGATTCGGTGCATAAGCCCTTTTCGGGGTGGAGAGGGCTCACGGATCTACGTCTCACCCTAAACCCTAAACCCTGAACCCTGAACCCTAAACCCAAACCCCGAACCCTAAACCCGAAACTTTTTTGTTCCGACGGCGGACTTTAAATCCTCCGCGCCCCAGAGACACATCTTGTGGAGGAGTCTATGGGGGTGGGGGGGTTTGCGCGTGCATGCTGGCATGAGTGCCCGATGCGACGAACTTTCGTCCTGGCGCAGTATTAAGACTGGGAATGGCAATCTGCGAAAGCCCAGCACCGGTACTAGCACGATGCTTCGCCAAGAAAGTTCAATGCTTTGCTCCATGATGCTCCGTTTCAGTCTATATCCTTAAACGCAATTTGAGTTGTTCAGAAGTGATGTAGATACTTCCTGTTGCTAGCGGCATGCACCTCCCAAACAAGGAGCTAATCAACCAAGTCCACTACCACCTAGCCCTAAACCCTAAACCCTAAAACCGCCCTGGACTCCTAAACCGCTGACCGCCTTGCTGCTGAGAGGTGCGCTCCATCCTGCGTGGGGATCGCAACTCCACCACCATCAACGTCCGGAAGCGGCAGGTCTTTTGGCCTTGGGGCATAGGGTTTAGGGTTCAGGGTTCAGGGTTTAGGGTTTATAGGGTTTAGGGTTTACATGCATGCTGATCTTTCTTTGGTGTGTGAGTGTGTGTTCTTTTGTTGACCTGATGGGGTGAGTATAGCAGACGTGCGGATGAGGGAGATTTGTCACGTATGCTTTCGGCTTTCGGTGATGAGTTGTTGCATGGAAACCCTCAGCATCAGAACCCTGAACCCTAAACCCTAAACCCTACTGTAAACCCTAAACCCTAAACCTTCAACCTCAACTCGATAGTCAACCCCTGCACATCTCACGCCTCTGGAGTTTCAGAAGCCAGGGGGTTTCCGATGTTCGGGGTACCTTAATGCGGTCCTCATTATAGGGGGGTCCTACTATTTGGGGATGTATACTGGGGTCCCCTACGTTCGTGCACCCCGCACCGCGACGGCAAAAGTTCGCGCAAGGGTCTGCTCGGAAGGTGACGATCATGTTTTCGGACATCCGTGGCTTTACTTCGATCTCGGAGGTGTTGTCACAAGAGGCGGGCTCTGGGTCGCGCTGAATATGTATTTAGTTAGGGTTCAGTTAGGGTTTAGGGTTTATATGCTTCCCCCCCCCCTCCCCCCCAAGAAGTCCACCGAAAGGACAGTCTAAGGACAGTCTAAGGGGGCGAGGTGTTGCTCCGTAGGCCGCGAGCGCACCCTTTAAACCCTGATTCAGTTTTTGAATCAAACCGGGATCCCAGATTCAAGGTTCAAGATGCCTGGGAAAAGTTTGTGAGCATCTTGAATCTTGAATCTTGATCCCGGCTTGATTCAAAAATTAAATCAAATTGAATCAAGCTTGCCCCTCGCCCCACCCCGCACCCCCAACCCCCCCACACCTCACCCAACCCCCCAGCCCCAAACCCACCCCCGCCCCCCGCCCCCCGCCCCCGGAGGGCTTCGCCGAAATCATTGATAATCACGGAGGGGGGGGGGGGGGGGGGCGATTTACATGAATATCTATACATGGTGACTCCACACTGTTCTTGTTTTGCACATTCTTGTTTTGCACATGCCTCTCAGAGCCACGCTTAGATTTGCCGAACCAACCTGTGTGACACTTTATCCGAAGTTTCGAATCCAATCCTTCTCCACACAGCCTTCATTTTGAAAGTGGCTCCTCGCAGCGTGACTTGGGTTCGCATGGCCGGGCAAGGAAACAGATTTGCCAATCAACCCTTCAACCCCAGCCTCCCTCCCCCTCCCCCCCCCTCCCTCCCCCCTCCGCCCCCCCCCCCCCTCCCCCCCTCCCCCCCCCCCCCCGCCTCCTCCCCTCCCCCCCCCCCCTCCCCCCCCCCCCCCCCTCCCCCCCACCTGTTCGTATGTAGAAGCCATAGATGGGCGATGACATGTGGACATCTAGAGCTCCTCAAGATAGTCCTGCTTTTTGATGCTACTAAGTACCCTCGCTTAAGTAAGGGTAACTTCGTGCTTACTTATTTTGGATAGGTCGGGTAATCAGGGCAGGGATGGTGCCAGGATTTGCTTACGTTGCTCTACCTCTACCTCAGTGAGATGACGAACATCGTTGAGCAGAGGGGTGGTGTCGTGAGCGACGCTTCTTTCGGCAGTTAGCAATGATTGGCTATAGGACCCAGAGTACCCAGAGTAGGGATTCGGTTCCCTTGGCACTAAACCCTCACAACCAACCAAGGCACCCTCTTCCTTTCTAGGCGACTCATGGGTCTAATGATTTCATGTGGGCTGAGACGTCGAAGTCTCATGTAGTTTATCGCCAGATTAAACTCCAATTAGACCCCCCACTCCTTGGAGCGGCCCATTATTTCCAATCCCTGAATTTTATGGGTTTTTATAGGTTCGAGGGGGGACAGGCTCAAGTCAAGCTTGCCCCAGGGCCCACCCCTCAATATCTCAGCCTCGAGTTGCGAACCTGCCATGCGGCTTGAAACCTGCCCTCAAGCCTGAACCCTTAATCGGCCCCCTAGGGACGAAGTCTAAACGAAGCGTAATCGGTTTATCTATGGTCCTAAAAGTCTTATGGTTGAGATTTCAGGCGCTTTTTGAGGCATAGGGTTGTGAAGGCTTCAGAGTTGCTGGGGAGTCCCTAGCAGGGCTAACTGGGCCCCTTGAGAGTTAGAAAAAGCGGTTAGTCAGGGCTCGGGGCAGGCGGGTACCCCCCAGAAGAGAAACAAAAACTGCCGGCAGAACAAGGGTTATAAACCCTAATTAAGCCCTAAACCCTAAACCCTACACTTTATCAGGGGTGTAAGGGTCTTGGGCTTCGGGTTCTGCCTCCGAACTTTACGCCCTGACTCAACCCGGAGGCTGTACACAGCCCATGCCCACACAAACCATGCAGGCGAGTGGTTCTCTTTTACGCTTCCATTATCGCCATAACTAGCACCAACCAATGTATCCTTATTGGGAGATACTGTAGGTGCTGGCCTATCATACCCTAAACCCTAAACCCCAAACCTTAAACCCCAAACCCTAAACCCTAAACCCTAAACCCGAGCCCCTTTCAAGCCGCGAGCTGCACCAGGAGATTCTCGGCGATGGTCTGCTGGTTCTCTGGAACACCCCGGATGACTTGGAGGACCTACGCTTGGCTTTCTTCTGGTTGGCTCTTAGGACTTCACTTTTTGGGCTTTTGTAGAAACTGTAATAAGGAGCCTAGAAGGGGTTCAAAAGTCAGCCAAGTACAAGTAGGCCCTTTACTATACCAACTTTAATTCGGGACTTATAACCTGAATAGTAGGACTTACAACCCAAGGAAGGGGTATAACCCTACTTATATCTATACATGTAGGAGGTTCTGAAGACTTGCCTGGCTTGACCTGCAGAAGTTTTCGACTTGGGGAACTCGAGCTTTTTGGTCGGGAAGGGATCGCCACTGGCATGGCCCACGTGAGAGGGTGTTGCCTTCAAGGGCATCTTACCTCAACCATATTCTCACAGCCCATGGTCCTGAACCAGCAACCAAAGGACCACAATGTCGCAGCCTGCTCGGCGGCGATCGCCCAGCAGAAGGCGCAGCTCTAGGCTCTACACTTTGAAGGGTCCGCTGCGGGTTGGTTGAGAGTTGGGGCTCTCAGTTGCCCTTGCCTGTAGGGCATTGTCGGGATTTGTAGGGCGAAATGCGCTTTGCCCTGTGAGGAATTCAGGTGCAGGTATAGGGTTTTTTCGCCGAGGCGAGGAGTCCAATACTGAAAGGTGGTTCTTGGCAACACGAAGACCGTGCAGACCGTACGTTTGATCCACGTTGCGGCTCTACATGCTTTGCTCTGGTTTGTACAGTCTGCACCCTTCCCAACACTTTCCGCCTGGTGGCCCCACGTTTCCTGTTCCAGCGGAATACGTACGGGAAGTGTTTGAAGTGCACCCAATTGTGTCTCGAGTGTGACAAAGAGAGTGATTCAAGTGACCCAGTGAACATTGCAACACACCGCTGGAAGGGACCCACACGTCCCAAGCGACCGAGTGGATGAACTTGTTTACTTTGACCCACGTACAGTTTGACGCCAAGCAACCCAAGTGTCCCTGCATGTTGCTTTGTAATGAAAAGTGGGCGGTCTAGGGTGGGTCTGCAGACTAAGGCGCGCTCACAAAGCGCGCTTCCGTATGGCACGCCCTACACCCTGACGAGCGAGTCACTGCTTTGTTAGCTAACCTTTAAAAGCAGAAACAATGTTACATAGTGTGCCCTGCAATGTGGGGGTTTACAACAGTATGGGCCCCAATAAGGTACACGGAAACCCCCAAGTCAGCTAGGCCTGAGGCAGCAAGACCCTGACCAGCGGTAGGTTTGAATATAACTTCACATGTTGATTACCCTTAATCCCCTAGAGAATCCTTATAAAGCCGTATTGTTTTTTTAACATAGGGCCCTCCCCCCCCCCCCCCCCCCAAAAACAAAAAAAAAAAAAAACCCCCCCCCCCCCCCCCCCCCCGACGAGGCACTTCCAAAGTTGAACGCCACCTTCGCGGGCATGGGGCTGCCGAGTGTGGCCATACGCATCGGGCTGCACACTGGCGAGCCTCGGCCATCCCTGCCCTGGAGTTCCAGGCCTTGGAGTATTTGCATTGAAGAAGGAATATAATATTATATATATATATATAAGTATATACAAGTTTTTATTTATATTTATATTCTACTTATGTATGTGTTTATATTATATCTATATTTATGTTTGTTTCTATGTTTATATTTGTATTTAGATTCATATTTTATATTTACATTTATGTTCATATTGATATTTATTTATGTGTATAAACAACTACCCTACGATATCAAAAACATAGTATGGTACAATACAATATAGCGGGCACAGGGTGAGTTCTTGTCGCGCAAGCGTACTCACTACTTAAGACTCCCAGATTCAGCTCAACATCGTGAAGGTGAGTGTGCAAGACCATACACTGCATCATGTTTTTAGTTGTTTGGTTTTTGTGATGTGTGTTATGTGTGTACAGATGTTTTTTTTTCGGAGGTCCTGGACATATTGCCAAGATTGCAAGGGCTCTAGACACAAGCTCTTCGGCTTCAGGGACTAAAGCACCGATTTCGTCCCAGATCCGCGATTCCAGTTCCCGATTGAACTCCTTCCAACATATCATATGATGACCGGGTGCCCCAGAAATGGATCCACGATCGGGATATGACGTATCATCTCGACACAGCCTTGAGGAAAGATATCGCCCTCCTCTCTCAACATGTCATTATCCTCCCTGCCTTGTCCATACGGTTGGGTGTCCTATGGTATGTGTAGTTCTGGGCTTCTGCGGAGAGTAGCTTCAAAGCAAGAAGCCCCTAATCGTTGAGGATGTTCTTGCCGGCAACATTGGCAGCAACAAGAAAATGAAGCTCCTCGGCCTTATGCTTGACCGCAAAAGCGGTCTAGGGTTTAGGGGTGCATAGGGTTTGTTCGAAGGAATCCCCTGTGTTACACCATCCCTAAACCCTAAACCCTAAACCCTAAACCCTAAACCCTAACCCCCAATCTTTGCCGAAGTACAGCTATGAGCCGACCTTAAACCTTAAGCTCCAGGACCGGTGCTTATAAGTGGGCTGATAAGTGCCCTAAGCACGGTTAGGACCAGCTAGAACTATGATTATACTTCTAACCCTGTTCATAAAGACCCATGAACCTCCAAGTAGAAAGCACTCCATCCTAAACCCTACTCTCCTGAGCTCGAGAGGTACGGCTGCATGGGCGACCCGATCAACCTAGCAAGCCGGCTTGAAGGCTCTGTAGCTCAGGGTGGAGGTACTTTGATGTGTGGCTAAGGGTGCGCCTCAGTGACCCTTGCACCCGGCATTGTTTCGCACAAAGCTGTCCTGTTCCTGAGCATGACACCTCCGGAGAAGCTGCATGTCAGAGAGGGGGAGGGGCTAAGCCAGCTGGTGAAAACCTAAACCCTAAACCTTAAACCGCGTTGTTTGGGGCCCACAAGGATGCTTGCTCTATATTTGGCGAAACAAGTGTGAGCAGCTCAGAAAGATCATTTACCCCAAGAAAAGACCAGCGCTGGCCAGGGCTCGCCAAACACTACGGGGTCGGCACACTGTGCTCAGATGCGACGTGCGCGTCTTTGCCCAACACATTTCTGCGCCTGGCCTACTATGGGGGTCGGAAGAATTACTACTAGTATTCCCTTGTAACTATGGTCCCTTTATAATTACACTATACTAGTAGTAAGTATGGTCCCTTTATAATTACTACTAGTATTCCCTTGCAATCATGGTCCCTTTATGAATATACTAGAAGACCCCCCAGAACCCTGTCCTAATCATTTAGGCGTCTATATTGGGGAGTAACACTGCCCCGCTCCACTCCTGAACACCGCAAAAACTGAAAGGCAGCCACGACTTTTAAAAAAGAGAGCCAGGTGGAATTGCAGCATCACTCCGCGCCTTATGGCTTGACGGTCCCCGTGCATCACGTGAGTCAGCTAGCAGGGCAAGAGCTACGTGGGTTGCAGTGAAGGCTTGCAGAAGGAACAAGCTTGATTATGCGATGCAGAATGCCGCCGAAATCACGAAGGAGTCAACTCCTCCCAGGTGCAGACAGCTGGACTTGGTGAAGGTGAAAGGCAAGGAGGAGGCTGTGTGGGTGTATGCCACCTTGCTGCACCAGACCTCCTGAACTCCATCCCTATCGAAGTCGCTCGAAGAAGCTAGGGTTTCGGGTTTAGGGTCGCTTAGGGTTTAGGGTTTAGCGTTTAGGGTCTTCCTCAGCTGGTGGTGGTTGGATCCTATGCGGCAGTGGGGCTTAGTGTCCGAAGCCAGTGAGCCTCTGCAGAACCGGGTCCTCCACTAGCAAATGGGCCTCTGTCATGATACAGGGCCCATTTGTAACAAGTAAGACAATCATCTAGAAAACTTGCCGTGGAAAGTCACCCTGAACCCTAATTCCCTAAACCCTAAGCCCCATTGATCAGCAGAAAGAAACTGAACTGTGATGACAGGAGTCAAGCCGCTTATCCTTGCCGGTCCCCAAACCCTCCACGTAGGCGGTGCCTCTTTGTGCCCCTAGCTGGTTCCCTCAAGTCCCTGCACTTCCCTAAGCGCCCTAGATGCCGTAGCTGCCCTCCAACTAGTGCCTGGCCGAGCTAGAAAAGACGAGGAGTTGATCGACGAATGCCCGGGACCTGCCGATGATCACCCCAAGAGCAGGCGCACGGAGCGGAGTTCTGGGCTTCAGAGGTTTAGGCCCCATAGACTCTTGTGTTGCAGGTGGGAGGCAGTCCCACGCAGGAGGCTATTTTTTCCGAGGCTGAATTCCCTTCCATGCCCGGGGTTACATTGACTCTTGCTCGACTGAGCCAGTGCGAGCCGTGCCCCCGGTGCATCGCTTGTGCATGCAAAAAGAAGGTGAGCAACATCACCAGCACACCGGGAAAGGAAAGGAGTTTCGGCTAACTAACGGTGTGGGTTACCAGGACGGGCCAGTATACCCGATATTATGACCCCTTAAAAAGCCCCTTTATAGGGCTGATTATGGGGATTATAGGGCCAAATAGCCCATCCTTGGTAACAGGGCTCAAGGGGGAGCACATGCTGTCCCAGGCTTATTCAACTCTACCACGGCGCGCTGGAAGCGTTCCACCGCCGAGACTTCGCCGCTTGGCCTCACGGTTCGGACGTTTTGGATGGTTTAGGGTTTAGGGTTTATAAGGTTAGGGTTTAGGGTTTAGAGGGTTCATAGGGTTTATAGGGTTTATAGGGTTTGTAGGGTTCAAAGGGTTTATAAGGTTTATGGGGTTTATAGGGTCTTAGGGATCAACAAGCTGGAAGTTTGTCAGGGTCGGTGCTTTGGGCGACTTCAACTACATGTCAAATCCCCGTAGATGTAGCCACGTCCGCCTTCCGAGGCGCAGGCCATGCACTTGGCGAGGTCCTACTTGGCGCAGGACGCGGCGACCCCTGAACCTTGGCGCATGCACACGGGATACACCGGCAACATATTCACATGGCGCGCGAAGACATTTTTCCACAGCGCATCAGCTTGCCAGAGTTAGCTCCGCACGCATCGACGCAAGACCACGTTGCTGGCCTTCGGCGACACGCAACTTGTAGCTGAGAGCACCCATTCCAACCCCGACGCCTCGGTTCATGGAGGGCCGCACAAGGCTGTGTTTCTGAGTCACAGGCTCTAAATTTGTCCAACGTCCAACCATGGCCGACATACACGGCCAAGAGTACTGTAGCAAGCACAGGCTCTGTTCCTCTGCACATTCCATTCCCTGCATGCCCTTTGCCCTTGACCTTTGAGATGTCTGAAGCAAACCCTAAACCCTAAACCCTAAACCCTGCTTATGCCATGAGGCCATGAGGCCTCCTTAGCATGGCTCTTGTCCTTGACTGAAAGAGCGACCTCACGAATGCTCCACTCCATATTCCTTCACATCCCCGTTAGGCCTTCGCCTCTATAGAAGCCCCTAAGCCCTTGCTACTGGGACATGTGGGGGTCTACCAAAATTGTGGGAACCCCGAGAATAGACCCCCTAACCAATTAAATAGTAGGATTCTCTTGTCATCTGTCATCAGGTCATCAGGACCCCAGCAAGGTAGCCCTAATTTCGGCAACCCCCCACGTGTTTGCCTTTGATGGAAGGAGCCCGATGACCTCCCATCACAGCTTCTCCTTGAGCGTGCCGAGGCTCTTGAACAGATTGTGGCTTGCAAATTGGGGGGGGGGGGGGGGGGGCCTGGTCAGCTTCAGCTTATGTAGGCCTTGTAGGAAGTTTTCTTAGAAGGGAGAGGGCGTTTGAAGCAAAGAGCCTACAGGGCCCGGTTTCCTGGGTAGGCAAGTCAAAAAACTGCGAGAAGCCGTTAAAGGGCTTTGTAGCTTTGACCGCTGTTCGGGGCGGTTTCGCTTTCTTGTCAACCTGAACGGCTGACATCACAAGGCCCGGAAGCAAAGCGATTGACAGTATATCGGCGACTTGTAGGCAATGAATCCCCTGCGCCTACGAGGAGTTGCTCAGACTCAGAGACGGCGCCGAGTAATATGAACCCCCCCCTGCCCCCTACTCTTAAATACTCATTCATTGCTATGTTATATATGTTCTAGATTGTTATAGTACATGGGGGTTGGGATTGGATGTTACGGGGTAGGGGGGCTTAGTGTCAGGGGAAGGGATGATACACACGTCTCAGAATTCAAAAGAACCCTTGCTATCAGAGAGGCACGTCAGGCCAAGACCTGCTTCAGAGGTGGCGCCAACCAAAGCACACCTGTTTAGGTTTTAGGGGTGTAGGGTTTGCAAAGTCTTATCGGATATCGGCTTGTGCGCGAAGGCGAAGGCAAAGAATCCCTCCTCAGCCCCAGACCCAGGCGAAAGGGCACCAAAGCCAAATCCGCATCCCACGTGTATCTAGACCAGGATGGGCTATTATACCCTATAATCTCTTGAAAGGCCGCTAATAGGGTTCATTGTGGGGATTTTTACGGCCAAATAGCCCATCCTGGGATGTAACCCATATGCCGGCGGGGAGCCGCGCGGCACGCTGCAGATCGGCACAGACAGCGCACCTCTGAGGGAGGAATCGGCCGAGGAGGCGTTACGTCGGCGCCGCATGGCTCGCCTTTGCACCGGGGCTATGGCGACAGGTTTAGGGAGTGATCTGGTCGAGGAGTCGCCCACGGACTACCAAGTCCCAGTCCGTTCAGTGGCAGCGACGGCCTGCGCCGGCCGGTGCACTACCACCAATTAAGGCCTCCTTCGTGAGCCCTCCTACTTACTTCGCCTTTAGTTGAACTTTAAACTTTTCGGGTTTCCTTATTTAGTAGGAATATTAAAGTTTAACCTTTTACCCCTTGGTTGTTGGAGAAGTAAGCCTATTGGGCTTCGATAGGCAAGGCACTTCTGGGTGTTCAGGGTTTTGGGTTTAGGAGCGGTTCAAGAAGGCGGTTGCAGTTGGGAATTTCTTAATTGGTAACAAGACAAACGTGATCTCATTCACGTTTGTCTTGTTACCAATTTCCAATTGCAAGTCTTGAAATGTAGGTGAACTGCAACCCCTCGCCCGTCCTAAAGCCCTGAACCGTAAACAACCCCAAATGCTCCAAAGCCCTACCCAGAGACTCCGAACCCCTTATTTTAAGGAATACAAAACCCCTTAACTAAGGAATATACCTTAAATCATATTAGGGTTCCTATTATAATGTTAGGTATATATTCCTTGATTAAGGGGTTTTGGAGTCTCTGGGAACCCTGCGCAGGTTGCCAGCACACTCCCTGCCAGGGCGCCCTGGTCCCCTGTCCGGCGCCTGGTTGGTTGTTCCGCATCAAAGGTCTACTTTAAAGATTCAGAAGTTTTTGGGGTTTCGGGGTGAAGCTATGGGTTTTGGGCCTAGGATTCAGAAGTGTTGGGGGTTTTGGGCCTCCAATAGAAGTCCTAGATTTCTCCAACTCTACGGGAAACCCCCCAAAAAGAGCCCGAGCTGGAGCTGAACACGGTCGGGGCAACTGCAAATTTTGTCCACTGCAACTCCTTGGGGTCGCCCCAAGCATGAGCCCAGCTCTAATCTTAGCCTTTACTTAGGGGTACTTGCAAATCATGTTTAATTTTCATTTTCGCTAGGGTTCCAAGTTCAGTATAGTTACCCATAGTTACCCTGAACCAGGCCTGAACCTCTGCAAACACCCGAACCCGAAACTCAGCTCTGCCTAAACTTGCCTTAGGGTAGGGAACCTGCAACACTTTTGCTATAACATAGAAACCTGCAACATTTTTGCGATAATATAGAAACCTTCTATTCATAAAACCCTAAACCCTAAGCCCTAGACCCATAGAAACCTTCCATTCATGAAAGGCTTCCCTTTTCTTGAGCTAGGGTTTAGGGTTTAGGATTTAGGGTTTAGGGTTTATAGGGTTTAGGGTTTAGGGTATTCAGCCCCTGAATTGCTTATGGAGTGGAGCCCAGGTCTTGGAAATGACGGAGAAGTGATGTGGCAGCAAGGCGCCCTGGGTTTAGGGTTTAGGGTTTAGGGTTTAGGGTTTAGGATTTAGGGTTTGCCATTTTGGCTCAAGCCATTATTGCTACGAGGCCTATTTGGCGAATGTAATTAGACGCAACACCTCGCGATATTGCAATGGAGAGGGCCAAGCTGCTGTCTTGCGTGGGGTTCGCATGGCGAAAGTCATTCCACGCGGACGTTCCTCAAGTCACCAGGCAATTAGGCGCTGCTCTGCATTAACTAAGGGAATATGAGAGAAAGCACCACGAATCGTTTCCATCTTCGATGCTATCCTGCCCCAGATAAAGGAACGAGAGACGCGGCACTGCTATTCTGATTCAGTCACTCAGACGGAGTTGGAGATCCTGACGCGGCCTCAGTTCGAAAACATCATGGTGGATCTGCAGGGCCAGTTTGCACAACTACAGGACCAGTTTGTACAAGCTGCACAGCGGTGGAGCAGTAGCGTGCTGGCGCAAAACCATCGTGTGGAGGATCTTCAGAGGCAGCTACATCATCTAGCTGATGAAGGGGAAGTGGCGGTACACAATGATGTTGAAGTGGAGCAGCACGGCGATGTACCTCTAGCTAGCACAGACCAATTTCAGCAGACGGTGGAAGACGCTGCAAGACACGGTAGCCACTCCGATGCCTGCTTCGACATGCAGCGATTACGTGCACGGCACCAAGAGGAGAGAATGCGTGTGAAACAGCAACGGCGTGCTGCTAGGTTGTGCAGACTTGAAAATGAGAAGGACAGCCACGAAGGACTGCAGTTGCAATGATGGGCGGGGTTTTCCATGCTCGCATGCTTTTGGTCCTCAGGATAAGCTTGAGGTCTTGATTCTTCTTTCTGCCACGAAACACTTGTGGCTGCTTCAAGTTAGTGTTCTGGCCTTCATGTCTTGTCTGGGGCACCTGTTGCAAATCAGCGGACGCGCAGCAGGCTGTTCGGCAGCCACGGACCCGTCAGAGCGCGCGGGGTCAAAAAGGGTTTAGGGTTTAGGGGGAACAGAAGACCCGCAAAGCACCCGAAGGGTTCAGGGGCTGAAGAGTCCTCATCCTGCAATCGCCCAGTTGCAACGCAACTCCCCGAATCCATCAAGGGGGTTTAGGGTTGAGGGTTCAGGGAAGTTCAGGGTCTAGGGTTTAGGGTTTAGGGGAACGTGTCAGGCTGTGTTGCGGCATTCTCCACACACTATGACCCCAACACGGGCAACCGACCAGGGGACCACATAGTGCAGCGATGGCATCAACTGTGGTCCTTGTGACCAGGCAGTGCTTGCAGGGCTTATAAGGGTTTATGGTGTCCTGCCAATTGCTCATGAGTTGGAGCATGGGCTGCAGCCCTTAGGGCTCTAGGGTCCATGCTGGATATGGATGAGCCCCAATCTGCCAACAAGGGAATACCGGGGAGGGTTTAGGGTTTAGGGTTTAGGGTTTGGGGTTTAGGGTTTAGGGTTTAGGGGAGGGCGCTCTGAGCCCTGAGCCCCAATACCATAACAAAAACCAGGACTGTGCTGTAATTAACCGCATGTCGGCGCCAGGCAGTCCGGTGCAGTTTCGCCAAGATGGTGAGACACCCGTGAGCGTGGCTGCAGTTTGGTAGCCCGATGGCTGCGCGCTGACAGGTGCAAACGTCGCCTCCCTCAACCTAAGTCCTCAACCCCCTTTTGACAGGGGCCCCCGGGTTCTTCGTAGGGTGTGAGGGAATGAAGGCCCTATATGTATTATATGTATATACATATATATATGTATGTATATATATATATATATCCCTTCAAGGGAGTATATACCGCCCAAATTCCCCTCATTCCCTACTAAGAACTAGCCAGGGGGTTTATGTGCTTCACCAAAGTGTGGGGCTGCTCTTGCTGCAGACCTGAGCCGTCCTGGGCAACAGGACCAGGCGGTTTAGGGGTTTAGGGTTTAGGGTTTCAGGTGCTCGAACATGATTCTGCTTACGGATTCCGGCAATGAAAAGAGAGATCTCTTAGCCACTCGCAGCAACTGACCACACAAAATATCGACATCCATGCCTGTAGGCCACTGTCCTCCGTTCCCTTCTGAGAAGAAGTTGCACTTCTAAACGTCAGCACACGACCTCCCGAAGTGAAGCAGTGATCTTCACATGACCTCTTCACATGACCCGGTAGCACATCAAGGCATTCTTGGCTCCCCTCGCACAGGCCCAACGCCAGCCCGTCCGAGATCAAGAAGGCTCATGAGAATTCTTTGCCAGTGGAATGCACCTAGCCGTTGACCCAAATGAATATTCAGACGTAACCATTCCTGCAGAAAGGCCTACTACAAAGAGGCACGCGTGCGCAGACCCGAGCATGCAGTCGTAGTCGGCAAGCCAGCGTTTCATTTCACAGGCGCTATCTGGGGATTAGGGGGTCAACCGGAGGCCAAGAAGGAATGACGCTGAGAATTCTTCTTTGTTTCATCTGTTTCGAGCTGTTTAGGTGGTCTGTTCTGTGGCGGGGTGTGTCTTCCGCGTGCCAAGCAGTTGGTACCACGAGCTGGTGCCTAACACAGGAGCCTCATTACTTGCCAAGAATATCACCTTTATCATCCCTAGATAATTTCAATATCGGCTCAAGAGGACGGCTTTATTCGTGCTCGAAGGGGACCCTTTGTGTACTTGGAGACCTATCGCCATTCAACATCAAACTAAGCAACGAAGCAAACAAAGTTTCAAGCCCTCTAAGGAAAAATGTTTCAACAGTCCCTTTCCCACATCACAGTGTAGTTACTAGCTCGGCTGAGCGCTGATCCTAAACTATGGGTCCTTTTTTCTTTGGTGCCCAACAATATAAGGAATGTTCTCTAGCAGAGACATCAAAAAAAGCAAGGACCATTCTCAACCGAGGTAGATTTGGAACTATTGTTGAAGTTCTTAGGGCCCTAGTCGCCACATTCAGTGTTTACAGGGCAACCACACAAAAACACTGACGACAGGTGTTTTGAGGGGCCTGTTAGGCTTTTGTTTCCGGTTGGGGTTCGGAGTTGATCTTCGTTTTTGTTCGGGGGAGGGGTGGGGGTGAGGTTAGGGGTTATGGGAGTTCTGGGAAGGTGAACAAACTGTTGTCGTGAGGGGAGGGGGCGGCCTAAGCCCTACACCCTAACCCTTGAACCCTAAACCCCAAACCCTAAACCCTAAATCCTACATCCTAAACCCTAAACCCTAAACCCTAAACCCTGCTTGAGCTCTCCCAGGTGCCATCCGGACAAGAATCCCGGGGATGCCGAAGCCACGGCCAAGTTCCAGAAGTTCCTTTGCTGGCAAACCCTAAACCCTAAACCCTAAACCCTAAACCCTAAACCCTAAACCCTAAACCCTAAACCCTAAACCCTAAACCCTAGCCCTAAACCCTAAACCCCAAAGCCCAAACCCTAAACCCTAAAGCCTAAACCCAAAGAAATCCTTTACCCCCTCCCCACCCCCATCCGCCCTGCTCAAAGGCCAGGGGGGCTAAATTGCCAATTTGTGTGTCTTGTGAGGTTTGGGTAGGAGGTTTAAGGTGCAGAAGCTGGAACTCGACGTCCTGTTGGGAATGGCTTTATAGGGTAGGGTTTAGGGTTTAGGGTTTAGGGTTTAGGGTTTAGGGTTTAGGGTCTTCCTGTTGGATTAAAGCCCCCCAACAAAGAAAGTTCTTCTTCGCAAAGGGTAATAGGGTAAGATAGGGATCATTTTCTTTTACTTTACCCCGAAGCCGTAAGCCCGACTGCTGCGACGGACCCTGTATCCCGAAACCCTAAACCCTAAACCTCAGAAGCGAAAACCTGAGATTCTTTAGGGTTCAGGGCTTAGGGTTTAGGATTTCGGGTTTTAGGGTTTTGGGGTTTTAGGGTTTTAGGGTTTTAGGGTTTTAGAGTTTTAGGTTTTTAGGTTTTAGGGTTTTAGGGTTTTAGGGTTTTAGGGTTTGGGGTTTAGGGTTGAGATTCTGGATGTGAAGTGTCCCCTGTCATGCCTGAGTTGATGGATCAGGCTGAGCACTGTCTACCAGGCGGGTCCTGCTCGGATACCACCCTAAACCCTAATCCCTAATCCCTAAATCCTAAACCCACCCGCAGTTCCTGTTTCTACTATCTGCCGAAGAACCCATGTCATTCCTTGTAAGGGCGATATAGGGATTACAATTCTAGATTTTTTGGGTTCTTAAGCAAATAGTAGGTTTGGGTTGAGAGGCGTTTAGGATTTAGGGGTCTATGGTGTGACTTGAAGGGGAACAACCAAGTTTCGGGTTAGGGGTTTTGGGTTTAGGGTCTATTAAGAGCTCACATTTGTGGTGCGGCAAGCTGGGTACATTCGGTTTTGTAGCCCTGAGCACGTGTGGATATCACTCCTTGACGTTCCTAAATGCGGCTTTCCCTTATGTCGTGCCTCTTCACAACTTCGCCAGTCTTTTTTTTGGTCAAAGAAGGACGGGCTACGGATGCCTCCTCGTTCAACATCATTGAAGCACCTCAAACCAAAGTGTCCGTGGATTCCCGCAATTACAGAAGAACATTGAGAGTCTAGACCTCCACATGTATGGTACAGCTACTACGCTTCAAAATACACATGGACTTTTTTTCTGGGTCCTTGTTGGTTATAATTTTACATTGGGGTCCCAGTTAAATCTTGCAATAAGGAATAAAGGAATGACAGTTTTTGAAAAAACAACCCCCCCCAAAAAAAAAAGATAGTTTTAAAACAAAAATCCCAACAAGGATGCAGTTTTTTTGAGACGAAGTAAAAAATATACCCAAATAAAAATAATAGTTCTTAAAATTAAATGCAGAGAAGGTCGCAGAGAGCCCGTAGAGCACCTCAGGTGTTGTCCGATCCCGAGCTCCGCAAGAAGCAGCGGCCTCAGGAAACCCTGAACACCCTCAAGGTTTAGGGTTGAGGGTTTAGGGTTTAGGGTTTAGGGTTTAGGGTTAGGGTTTAGGGTTTAGGGTTTAGGGTCTAGGGTACCGAAACGTCCCGACTCTGAGTATGTGGCTTTCGCGTGTCCTGGGATCTTCGACCGAATGTGATGTCTGAATCATGTCGGCATCGACCCCAGACAGTGTAATTAAGGGCACCACTCCAAGGGTTTAGGGTTTAGGATTCTGCACTCAGGAGGGGCGTGCACGCGCGCGGGAGCAAGGCGAAAGCCCCATGTGCAACACCGCGGCATGAGAATCCCGCTGGGAACGGACATTTGAAGCCAACCCATGCACTGACCACATTGCATGAACATGCGTTTTCGCGACGCCCACGCAAGCCTCAAAAAAAGGGCGTCGGAGGCGAGTGCACGATTTCGAGCACACCGGACCTAGTGAGAACCCTAAACCCTAAACCCTAAACCCTTTGCTGGTCCCGGCCAGCGATCTACTTCTCCACCCGCAACATAAGAGCCCCAAAGAGCAAGCACTGTTCGGGGAAAATCTCCCGGCTGTCATTAGGGCACTTTCTTCAAACCTCCAACCGCTGAAATGTGAGCCCTTAACACAGAGGCGTCGAACCAATTCCTGCCTATGCCCTTGGGACTTTTTTCTATTACCCTAAACCCTAAACCCTAAACCCTAAACCCTTTTTTGGTTCAAGAGGATCCTTTTCAGGAAATCGGGGGGATTTCAGGAATTTTTAGAGGGTTTTCAGGGCCATCCTGGCTGCCGATAGGATGACTGTTGCGAGGTATGATCGTGAGGGCAAGGAGGGCGTAGACAAGCAGAAGACCGTGCAGATGGACCCAAGGCAAAGTTTCTGGGAGCTTCAGGGACTACAAGTTTTGGGAGCTTCAGGGACTGC